CACTTCACACCCACTAAAATGGGTATGATTGAGAAAAAAGACTTTAACAGGTGTTGGTAAAGAGGCAGAGAAATTGGAAGTCTTACCTGTTACTGGTAGGATTTTGAAATCGTGTAACAGCTGTGGAAAACAGTTTGGTGGTCCTTAAAAAGTTAAACATAGAATTACCATATGATGCAGCAATTCCACTCCTACATATGGACCCAAAAGAATAGAAAGCAAGAACACAAACAGCAAGAAGATATAACCATAATAAATATTTATGGACCCAATGAAAGAGCCCCAAAATACATAAATCAAACTTTACCAGAATTGAAAAGACAAATAGATGACTCCACAGTCATAGTAAGAGACTTTAATACACCACTTTCATCAGAGATAGAGCAACTGGAAAAAAACTCAACAAAGATGCAGTAGAACTAAACAATACAATCCATTAACTTGAACTTACAGACATCTACAGAACAGTTCACCCAAAAACAGAACAATATACATTCTTTTCCAGGGCACATGGAACATTCTACATGATAGATCATATGTTAGGCCATAAAGCAAGCCTTAATAAATTTAAAACATTGAAATACTGCAACACATCTTCTCAGATCACAATGCTATAAAATTAGAAATCAATGATAGGAAGTAAGATCAATGGAAAAAGAGCAAACACATGGAAACTGAACAACACCTTCATTAAGAGCGACTGGGTAATAGAAGTAATTAAAAATGAACTTAAAATATTCCTTGAATCAAACAAGAATGAAAATACCACATACCAAAATCTTTGGGACACAGCAAAACAGCGATTAGAGGCCAATTTATAGCAATAAATACACACATGAAAAAAGAAAGAGCCAAAATCAACACCGAAACTCAACATCTCCAACAATTACAAAAGAAGAACAAGAAAAACCTACAGTCACCAGAAGAACGGAAAATAATAAAGATTCAAGCAGAAATAAATGAAACAAAATAGAAGACAATACAAAAAATCAACAAGACTAGAAGTTAGTTTTTTGAAAAGATTAATAAAATTGACAAACCACTGGCAAATTTAACAAAGGAAAAGAGGGAGAGAATACAAATAACACTAATAAATGAATTGGGCGACATCACAGCAGAACTAACTGAAATAAAAAAGATAATGTCAGGATACTATGAAAACTGTACTCCAGCAAATTTCAACATCTAGAAGACATGAACAGATTTCTAGAAGCACACTACTTACCTAAACTAACACAGACTGAGGTGGAAAACTTGAACAGACCCAAACAAAAGAAGAAAGTGAACAGTTCATGAAAAAAATTACCAACAACAAAAAAAGTCTTGGCCCAGATGGTTTCACCAGAGAATTCTACCAAACATTCAGAGAACTGACGCCAATCCTACGCAAACTATTCCAGAACGTAGAAAAGGATGGAATCCTCTCAAATTCATTTTATGGAGCAAGCATACCAAAACCAGGCAAAGACATCACTAAAAAGGAAAACTACAGACCAATATCCCTCATGAATATAGGTGCAAAAATCTTCAACAGAATCCTAGCCAATAGACTCCAACAGCATATCCAAAAAATAATATATGACCAAGGGGGGTTCATATCAGATATGCAAGGATGGTTCAACATTAGAAAAACAATCCATGTCATCTATCACATAAATAAAGGAAAAGAACCACATGATCATATCAATCAGTGCAGAAAAGGCATTTTATAGAATCCAACACCCATTCCTGATAAAAACTCAGCAAAATAGGAATAGAAGGGATATTCCTCAACATAATAAAGGGTATATTGCATATAAAGCATAAATGCACAGCCAATATTATTCTCAATGGAAAGAGACTGAAACCATTCCCCTTGTGAACAGAAACCAGACAAGGATGCCCTCTATCACCACTTTTATTCAACATTATATTGGAAGTCCTAGCCAGGGCAATAAGGCAAGAAAGGGAAATCAAAGACATTCAAATTGGTAAGGAAGAAGTCAAACTATCCCTATTTGCTGATGATATGATCCTATACCTAGAAAACCCAAGAGACTCAGACTCAGTCAAAAAACTACTGGACTAATTGAGAGATTTAGCATAGTGGCAGGATACAAGATAAACATACAAAAATCAGTTGGATTCCTCTACACCAGCAAAGAGATTGCTGAAAAAGAAATAAGGAAATCAATACCATTTACAATAGCTACCAAAAAAAAAAAAAAAACCTGGGAATAAATCTTATCAGGGACACAAAAGATCTGTAAAAAGAAAACTACAAAAGACTATTTCAAGAAACCATAAGAGATCTACATAAATGGAAAAACATACCATGCCCATGGATAGGTAGATTGAACATTGTGAAAATATCTGTTCTACCAGGCAATTTATACAGTCAATGCAATCCCAATCCAGATCCCAGCAACATTCTTTAAGGATATGGAGAAACCTATCACTAACTTTATATGGAAAAGGAAGAGACCGCAGATAAACAAAGTACTATTGAAGAAGAAGAACAGAGTAGGAGGTCTCACACAACTGGATCTCAAAACTTATTATACAGCCACAGTAGTCAAAACTGCCTAGTACTGGAAAAATGACAGACACATAGACCAATGGAATAAAACTGAGAACCCAGAAATAGATCCATTGACCTATGGTCAGCTGATCTTTGACAAAGGGC